TGTATTAAGTGCCTTTCTTACCCACAATATTTTCAATTTACAGTGGGTTTATTGGAATGTGATCCCAGTGTAATTGAGGAAGATTTGTAGATTCTGAGATCTGAGAACTAAGTGTGCTCTTTGCTATTGGGATGTTGCCTCTCCAATGTTTCTCAGTGGTTGGAGATAGAGAATATCTATGTAAGCGTGTGTATGAACGTGTGCATTTGCACTATAAATGTTTCAATATGTATCTGTATCTATATGCAATGAGTTCTGCTTTAACATTTGTTTCATAATGTGATTTTGTTCCAGTACAACTGAAATATTAAGGAACAATTTAAGCATAGCATAAATTTTGTGTTTGTTTAGACATGATTTCCTTTGCAGGAAATACAAAATGAACACAGAAAACGGCACCCAGTTGAACCAACTGGGTTGTCCATAAAACACATGCATGTACACACACACACACACACACACACACACACACACACACCCCTAACATCTACCATCTGCTTCAACTTACTTCATGTGCTACGGGCCATACTGGTTGCATCTGGTGTTACAACTTTCTGTCTGATTTCAAATGATTCTCCTTTCACTGCTTCACAATAACTCAGAAGCTGTAATCTTTTTCACACCCACTTCCACAAGCAAATTTCTGGTCCTTTTTAAGGACCACATATTCAGTATAGTGTTTCTGTATTTCTTAGCCATTTAACATGTGCAACTGTGCTATCATTTTTACTATGTTCCAGTCTTTTTTTTTTTTTTTGAGAGAGAGAGAGAGAGAGAGTGAGAAAGAGAGAGAGAGAGAGCACAAGCATGGGAGGGGAAGAGAGAAAGGGTGAGAAAGAATCCCAAGCAGGCTCCCACTGTCAGCCAGAGCCCAACATGGGGCTCTATCCCATGATCAGAAAGATCATGACCTGAGCCGAGATCAACAGTTGGACACTTAACCGACTGAGCCAACCAGTGCCCCTCCAATCTATTTTTTTTAAATATATCACTGATGAAGTATTTGCTCCAACCTTATTGTCCCATAAACTCTGTGTTTTCGTTGTCTGATTTTGTATGACATGAAAATTTTTAGGTATATGCATGTCATACTATAGCAGGATTGACTCTATTCAAGACTGTAAATTCACACAAACATCTCCCATTCCAATCCAACACTCCAGTTTATTCTAACTTTCTTGTCTTCTATTTTGGGAGCCCCTTTCTCTATCAGTGACAAACCTCGTGCCCCTTATCCTTAATATGGGTATTTAATTAATCAGGCCCCAGTACGTAACCAATCTCCCCTCACTACCATTGCCTCACTACCTGTGCAGATGGCCTTACCACCCACACTTCATCATCAGGGTTCTCCTTGCATAGATGCCAACTCACCCTTCGTTAGGTTATGACAACCCGCCCTGGACCACTTGTTCATGTGGTCACTCTCTTCACTTTTCTTGGCTCTTATTCTTCCCCATGAGCAGCCCTCTTACATGGACACCTTTCTTATGTTGCACAGGCTCTTCAGCAATATGTGTTTGTCTGAACTGTTGAGTCACTCTCACCACGAGGTCTGGACATCTACCTTGTTCAGTCCCACTTATAGCTATAGAACTGAATTGTCCATTAAAAGAAGAAATGGAAAGGGGAAGAGGAAGAAAAAGAGTTGAGATTTTTGTCAGAAGAATAAAAAATAGTGACCTATCACCCTGCAATAATGTCTTCTGGACTTGCATTACGGAATTAGCGCTATTCCATTTTATTAAAGCCTTTTAATCTTACAGAAGGATCCAGGTATTATATCTGTATCAAGCCAGGACAAATTATTGTCATTCTTCTCCCAAAGTTCTAAAATGGAGCAAAATGGAGGAGGAAGTGATTGCAAAATATCACTGTATAAGCTGCTGCTTCAATACGTGGTGGATGTTTAGTTTGCTATGCATTAAGGACATTTTATTTTATCCTTGATTCCAAATGTGAAGTGACTTTTTAGTTCAGAGTGAGTTTTACATGCCCATGATGATGACATGGAACACAGTCTTACAGAGAAAATGTTGTAGAAAATGTTCCAGTTGTAGGGCCAAATGTTGTCTGCAGAGAAAATGCCCAGACCACACAGCAGTGAGCTGTACTATGGTGCTATTGCTTCCAACCTCCACCAAGAAAACGTGTAACCAGCACTCAGTTAATAACAGGGAAGTAAAAACATATATAAATGAATTGATGGAAACCTCTCCACTTATTCTTTGAATAAATTCATGGAGAAAATTAAAAATCTCAGGGCAAGGTATCTTAAAGCAACAATTATGTGTAAGATGAGACACTTAGGAGCGAGCCACAGAAGTATCTCTAGGATCTGATCTAAGAAGAATCTAGTCCAGCTCAAAACTATTCTGTTAGAAGCACTTTTTAATAATTATAATCAATTCTTTATTCAGCAACAAATGAGAATTTACATCGGATCTCACAATACACCCTTTTGAGTTTATTGGCCATAAGTATGTAACTTATAAATGTTTTACATTATGATTTGTAGATTCAGTCATTCTCAGCAAGTCTTTTAGATATCTTCAAAATGTCCTGAGTAGATCCTTTTTCAGATATCATTATATCACACATAATGTTCAGCTAAAAATGCATGTCTCTGGAGTGGGCAAAATCAGGTGCAATGGCCTTCTCATTGTTCTTAATCAATATACAGAAGTTCTCTTTACTGACATTTATTGTACTCAACTCATGGAATTAAGCAAGCTGTCTAGTCTATTACGGTAATCATATTATTCAAATAATTATATGTTACCAGCTTACTTTATAATTGTTTGAATGATCCGATTTTAGCAATTTACCAATATGAAGCCTTTCTAAAACAACCCAGTTCAACATTCACTCATGTTTAAGTGTACTTAAAGTGAGTGGTAATTTCTATGTTGAATTTATTAAAAGGTACAAAGTTTGAGAGTCCTCAAGAATACCCTCAGATTCAATAATTTGTTGAAAAGACTCACAGAATTTCAGAAAAAGCACTTATGCTCACAGTTGCTGTCTATTACAGCAAAAGGATACAGATTGCAATCAGGCTAGAAAAGAATCATATAGAACAGGTCCAGAAAAATTCCAGACATAAGCTTCCAGTTGCCCTCTCCCAGCGGAGACAACTGAACAGAATGGCAATATGAAGTTCTGCCAACCAGGAAGATATCCAAGCCTTCGTCTCCAGAGTTTTTATTTGGGCTTAGTCACATAGACATGATTGGCCACCCATATGGCTGACCTTATTCTCTACCCTTCCAGAGACGGAGCTGTTACCACATGGCCCAAGGCCACACTGTTAGTTAGCATAGACTGCTTAGGTGGCCCAAAGTCCCTAGGTAAACAAATCAAGCAGGACATTCCAAGAGCTTAGAGGTTACCTCCCAGAAGCTGAGAGCAAAGGCCAGATCTTCAGCAATTATATGTTATCAATTTACTTAATACTTCTTTGAATGGTGCAATTTTAGTAATTTGTTTATAGGGAAGCTTTCTGAAATTCATTGCTCATATTATGCACTTATTGATATAAATGCCATCAGTGAAAGTGTTAATTTCTATGTTGGATATGTTAGGAAGACTATAAAAACAAGTTGTTAAAACAACAACAAAACAAATTGCTTTTGCATTAGGCATAACTAAGACCATAGAGAGTGGCAAGCAAACAACACAAAAATCTAGAAAGACTCTTATTTAGATTCCTTGTCAAGTTCCTTTATGTTAAAGAGCCTGAAGCCGAACATCTTAGACTGTGAATTTTTTGGTTAGTTTATGCCAGGAAATAGATAGGAAGTTTTAATCTGCAGACCCCCCAAAAAGCTCTTGGCCTTACCACAAAAGGTTGGGAAATAAATGTATATGTGTGGATCTTTATTGACTAATTGCTTTTTCTGGTTTCAAAGTTTTTCGATAGCATGCCAAACATTAGATAACAGGGATTTGATAGTGTGGAATTTAATCTGAGCCCTGTGCTCCTATAAAAAGCAAATGTTAAAGGATCCTTACCCTTTTATGTTCCAGAAAACAAGAGCTCACTGAAAACAAAACAAAACAAAACAAAACAAAGCAAAAACTACCATCCCCGTAAGACTAGATAAGACTCACAAAGTCCCCTTGTTTACCTATGACAAAACCAGACACAGACCCTCCAAATTCTTTTTTTTTTTTTTTTTTTTTTGGTCTCATTAAATTATAACCTGAACTACTTACCCACTGATCAATCAGAACAAAATGCTTGTTAGCCAAACTTGGTTAAACTTCTCTTTTACCTGCAGGGTCCTGAACATTGGTCTGCCTCCAGCTTGAGCCAGCATGCCAACCCTCCTGAGAACAGGCTGGCCTCAGAATATTCTGTGAGCTACTATCCCACCATGCCCTCCTCTCATTCCACATGAAAATATTTTCTTTCTCTCCTTCCTTTATTTCTTTCAAACTTTCTTTCTTATTTTTCTTCCTTTTCCTCTTTTATTCATTAAGAGGAATCTCTTCTGAGTCACTTCCCAGTTGTCAGCAAAATGCTGCCTCTCCCTGACCCCATCTCACCCTTTCACACTCTGGGAGTCTCTGGGAGACTCTTCTTGAGGAAGCACCCTTAGGCCTAGCCCAACTCTGAGGCACTGAAACAATGTTTTTGGTATGCTTATGCCTTATCCATTCCCAAATCATTTAAAGTGGTAAATAATACTATTTAGATTGACAGATTTGATTAAAAACCTTAAGCTCTACTCAGACAGCCTATTTCTGAAAGTTTTTGTATTTTGGTTCACATTTTAAACTGAAAGATTCATTTATTGACTGTAATTACAGGCAGTTTTGTGAAAATTTATCTGTTTTTAGGCTTCACCAGCATTTGTTTCCACCAAAAACATTTAAGCTGTTTATTGTACATCTTGAGATGTTTTCCCTAGACAGGGGAGGATATGATACTGTATTTTAATTTATTTTTTTATTTTTTTTTTACATTTATTTATTTTCGAGAGACAGAGAGAGACAGAGCACAAGTGGGGGAGGGACAGAGAGAGAGGGAGACACAGAATCCGAAGCAGGCTCCGGTTCCGAGCTGTCAGCACAGAGCCCGATGTGGAGCTCAAACTCACTAACTGTGAGATCATGACCTGAGCCGAAGTCGGATGCTCAACGGACTGAGCTACCCAGGTGCCCCTGATACTGTACTTTATACTAATCCTTAGATGTAAGGATTTTATCAGAACTAAACAAATACATTCAAGGGCCCTAATTCATTAATCAGGTGGCCATCTTCATGAATAACTGGTTACATTTTTCTATATTTACAGATTGTTGGATAGCCCAAACTCCAATTTTAGTTGATCTCCAAGAAATAATCTTGGAGACATTTGATATTCTGGTGTCCAAAAAATGGTCCACAGAAGTGACTTCCTAAGTGAAATAGTAAGAGAATCATGCTTACAGTTTTGAATGTAGTGAGAGAGGTGGGTGTGTGGATTAATAATAGTACATTTTATAAAGAATCAACCATTTACATAATAACTTTTCATCTATGACATACCAGAATGGAACAAATTTTGGGGGGTGAAATTGCTCTTATCTTTTAAGTAGGAATTCTGGTAATCTAATGCCCTATGAATATAGAAAGCATGCCCAATCATTAACAAAGGTAGATAACTGGTCAATAAATCAGATTGTTTTCATATATTTATTTTAATTTTAATAAATCCTCTAAATGAATCAGAGAGTTTAAGTAGCTTGCCACAGAAGACAAAATTAAAAGCAGGATCTGAAATCAAATTTACATCTGCTTGGTGCCAAAGGCCACGCTTGTTTTTTCTCATTATGCCATATGTTATGCATCAAGGGCTGTATAATGTGCTTTTGACCATCCTTAGGCCCAGAAATTAAATACCATAGTATAATATTGGGGTACATGGTAAACTCTCAGTAATAATAATAATAATAATAAACAATCATATTTCAAGTTATCAAAAGTATCTTCCTTGAGAGATGACCCTCCATTCCCCATCAATTTAAAAGCATGGTATTAACCTATACACTCTTTCTCCTAAAATAAGGGCTTTGGAATCGGGAAAACTTGAATTCTCTCACTTACCAACTATGTGACCTTGGGCTAATCACTTAAATTCTTAAAGCTTCAGTTTCCTCATTTGTAATATTGGAATAATATTAACATCACTGGGATCTATTATTATATACTATATTGCCTATCATTGTATCAAAATTTGAAAAAATCAGCTACAAGTTATTTTAATTCCAGACACACCCACTTTGATCTGATTGGACTGTCTCTCTTTGTCTCTCCCTCTACTCTTTGTTTTAGAAAAAGAGCCTATTTGACAGTAACACTGTTAAGTGTGGATGCCATTGAAAAGATGGCTCTGAAACTAATGGTCACTTTCCATGCCCTTTGTTTTGTGCCTGTAGCTGCCCCTTTTAGACTATTCAAAAGTTCAAGACTTGGTTCAAGAAAGTTTTCATTACTGCCTGCCCAGACAGGACTATTTGGAATTGTGTTCCAGGCATCCAAAGCCACACCAAGCAGAGGAGTCAAGTAACTGTGTACAAAACACTTAGTATCATGGCATTAAGCCATCTGGCATAAAGAGTATTGTGAAGCAGCAGCCGTAAGTCCTGATTGCAGCTCTGTTAGGAAAAAGCTGCATGACCCTGGCTCAATCTGAACCCTCTGGGTCTCAATTTACTTATTTACAAAATGACAGAATTTGGTACATATAGTCGCTCAGTTCCCCAAATTCTAAGTTACTAGGAATGACTCTCCAAAAATAAAATGTTCAGAAGATTTTTCAATCATTTATTTGCTTATTTATTTATTTATTTATTTTTATTTAAGTTTATTTATTTTGAGAAAGAGAACCCGCATGTGAGCAGGGGAGGGGCAAAGAGAGAGAGAGAGAGAGCGAGAGAGAGAGAGAGAGAGAGAGAGAATCCCAAGCAGGCTCCATGCTGTCAGCACTGAGCCCAACACAGGACTCCATCCCAGAAACCATGAGATCATGACCTGAGCCAAAACCAAGAGTCAGACATTTAACTGACTGAGCCACCAGTTGCCCCTATTCACAAATTTAAATTTTTTTAGTGCTTGGCACTGTTGTAAACATTGTCGATTCCACTGTAGGGGAGGGGGATAAAAATAGAGTCCTCACTTTCAAGAAATTTAAATTCCTTGAAGACAATGAATGATAAACTAAAAAGTAAATATAGAATATGATGGCAACTTGTAGGACACTTGAGGAAATATTGTTATCAAGAAGGCAATATATAAAAAATTGTTCAGTTTAATCTATTAAACTAGTTCCTTACTCACAGTCATTCCAACACAAAAAGGAAAGAGAAATATTTCTTTCTTGAGCAAATCCACTAGAATGGGCTATATCCCAGATGCATGGTTAAAAGTCAATAGCACATGAGGCACCTGGGTGGCTCAGACAGTTGAGCATCCAACTCTTGATTTTGGCTCAGATCATGATGCTCAGATCATTTGGCTCAGGTCATGAGATTGAGCCCTGCATTGGGCTGTGTGCTAAGTGTGGAGCCTGCTTAAGATTCTCTCTCCCCCTCTCTCTAGCTCCCTCTGCCTCTCTCACATGCTCACATGCTCTTTCTCTTTAAAATTAAAAAAAAAAAAAAATGAAAGTGAGAAAAAATGAGGAATGCCAGCCAGGCAGTGAATTTTAAGTGTATGTTAGGAGCTGTATATCTGTTCATTTTTAACTCAGCACAATTGAACAATTTATGTATTTCTCTTGGTTTAAAAAGATTAAACTAAGGCCCGAAGAGGTGAGTCACTTACTCGGATCTGTACACAGCATTCAAGTTAAAAACCAATTCTCTTTTCATGGCACTGAGACTCCAGTGAAACTTTTTTAGGAGAGTGAAAGAATAAGAACTTAGCATTGTATAAGTACCTTGAAATTCTTGGCATGACACTTATTTGAACAACCACACAGAGATAATGGCGTAACTTAGCAAACAATACAATTCTTTTTCTTGTGAAAGTGTAGATTTCACACTGAGGATTAAACATGTTGTATTTCCCTGAAATTTCAAGAATAATCATTGGTTTACATGAAGAGAAAATCCCTCTCCCAGGCTTTTTTGGATAAAACGGATTGACCCGAGAAGTGAAAAGAGAGAAGGGGGATGGGGCTCAAGTAAAGCAAGCACACCATGTAGAACTGAATTCATTTTAATTATAAAATAGATGGTTGACTATAAGACAGGGAAAATATTATAAGCAATGCCTTCATGTTTTTGATCTGCATTGGAAGTTGCTGATTCTGCCTGGTTGCAATCACAAAGATTTCTATGATTTTGATAATTACCGCTACTTAAAGATAATGAGTCAGTTTGACTCTTCAGTCATACTTCCAATTCTGAGTGTGATTCTTATTTTTATTTTAAATATGAAAATCTTCATGACTAAAGCTTCCAAGCAACATTTTCCTCCAGGACCTGGACCTTTGCCACTTATTGGAAATCTATATATTCTCAATCTGAAGAGGCCATATCAAACCATGCTGGAGGTAAAAAATAAATGTTCATTTCATACCTATTTATAATTTTCTACATCATTCTTACCCTGATAGGTTTATTATCATGCACATATTTATAACTGGCTCATATATGTGTAATGGAGTAATTAGACAGGATTTAAAGTTAGTCAAGCTACTTTAAATTTAATTTTTAGTTTGTTTTAAATTTGGATATATAAAAATATCCAATATCCAAATATCCAATAGAATAATATTTCTATTATTTCTAATAGTATTTTATCCTGAAATATTTATGATCTGTGTCCTTTATTGCAACCACTTTGATCTACATTTTTCATACTCTATATACATATTCCATATCCTACATATTTCATTATAAAGGAACCGAATCATGATCATAGTCTTACTCTACAAAATTTTAATTTTTATTCAAAACAGAGTGTACAAAAGACACAATCAAGAGTATGGTCTCAACAGTTGAGACCCAGAACTATCTGTCATTAGCTGTGTGGATTTATATAAGAATTTAGTCTCTATTTCTTTGTCTGTAAAATTACAGAGCTAGACCAAGTATTGGATCATATTTCTCTAATTTCCACTTCAAAGATTTTACAGTTCTTGATTGTGGAATAAGATAGATAGGTAGATAGATAGATAGATAGATAGATGATAATATAGTAGAAAGGGAGGATGAAGGGATGGAGGGAGGGAGAAAAGAAAGAAGGTAGGAAGAAAGGAAGGAAGGAAGGAGATATAATATTCGTAGTTTTCATTAGTCCATAAATTCCAATTTTTAAGTTCTAAAGGGCAGATGATTGAAATTGAGTTTTGCTATATTATGTAAATTCTAAGTTTGAAAACCAAACTGGGAGATATGATGAAGAGAAAATCATTGCTTTGCCTCCATGTGCATCATCATCATCATCATCATCATCATCATATCATCTTTTATTTGTATTGTACTTTGTATTTTACAAAGGACTGCAAGGATATCACTTATTCCTTATAACCACCCTCAGAGGAAAGTAGGGATATTTTTATCTCAATTTTACAGATATGTGACTCAGAGCAACTGACATATTATTAACTAAAACAATAGGACTTGCTTTTCTGATCTTTTGATGTTATTTTATGGCCCTTTTTCTGATACTCAAAGGTCACATGACAGGTTAATTTCCCAGAAGAATGAGATCTTCTTTCTTTTCTTTTTTTCATGTTTATTTACTTTTGAGAGAGGGACAGAGAGAAAGGAAGACACAGAATCCTTAGCAGGCTCCAGGCTCTGAGCTGCCAGCACAGAGCCCAACGCAGGGCTCAACCCACCAACCATGAGATCATGACCTGAGCTGAAGTTGGATGCTTAACCAACTGAGCCACCCAGGCATCCCAAGATCTTCTTTAAATAAATCCTTCATCTAATTCCATATACCCAACTCCATTTGTTTCTTAACATTCCTATTTTTGCTTATGTATTAACCAACCTCGTCCCTTTACTATTTATACCTTCATTTTTTCGCACTTTGACCTCTGTACTATTGTTCTGTGTTAATTTCATCTATGAAATGTCTTTTCTACATTTCTCCCTAGCCTATGCCTACATTTTTTTCTTAAAATTTACATTTCTAATTTTTGTTCTTTGCTTGAAACATACCATATCCACTTTATCCACTTTATATATAGTGGTTCACACCTGAGGAACTCTGTCCTCCCAGCCTCAAATTCCTATTTTAATTTTAATTTTCCTATAATAATAATTTTAACTATATCATCTTCCTAAATTTTTTTTTCAACGTTTATTTATTTTTGGGACAGAGAGAGACAGAGCATGAACAGGGGAGGGGCAGAGAGAGAGGGAGACACAGAATCGGAAACAGGCTCCAGGCTCTGAGCCATCAGCCCAGAGCCCGACGCGGGGCTCGAACTCACGGACCGCGAGATCGTGACCTGGCTGAAGTCGGACGCTTAACCGACTGCGCCACCCAGGCGCCCCATTATCTTCCTAAATTATTGAACCCTTCTGAAATTCCTGTTACAATCCTAATGTTATTTTTTAAATCCAGGTGGTTTTTTTTTTTTGTAGACATCATCTGTCACCAAACAACATTATTACAATATTATAGACTATATCCCCTATGCTGTACTTTTCATCTCTGTGATTTATTTATGACTAGAAGTTTGTATCTCTTAATCCCCTTTATCTATTTCATCCATCCCCCAGCTACTTCCCTTCTGGTAATACAAGTTTGCTCTCTATATTTAAGAGTCTGTTTCTTGGTTTGCCTCTCTCTCTCTCTCTCTCTCTTTCTCTCTCTCTCTCTCTTTCTCCCCTTTACTCATTTGTTTTGTTTCTTAAATTCCAGATATAAGTGAAATCATGTGGTATTTGTTTTTCTTTAATTTATTTCACTTAACATAATAACATCTAGGTCCTTCCATGTTATTGCAAATGGCAAGATCTCATTCTTTTTTATGGCTGAGTAATATTCCTTTGTATAGGTATACCACATCTTCCTTATCCTTTTGTCTATTGATGGACACTTGGGTTGCTCCCATTTCTTGGCCATTGTAAATAATGCTGCAATAAACATAGGGGTGCATATACCTTTAAATTAGTGTTTCATTTTCTCTGGGTAAATACCCAAATCATAAAATATTTCTATTTTTAATTTTTTGAGGAACTGACTTACTGTTTTCCATAGTGACTGCAGCAGTTTACATCCCCACAAACAGTGCACAAAAGTTGCAATTCTAATGTTATTTTCCAAAGTCAAGTTTCCTTAAAAAGCTAGTATTAGAAGCCCTCATCTCATTCTTTGCTTAAACCTCCTTTGGGTTAAGACCACAAGTTCTGTAGCCAACAATCCTGAATGTATATCCTCGAGCATGGGGCCTGCTTGAGATTCTCTGTCTTCCTCTCTCTGCCACTCCCTGCTCTCAAAAATAGATAATCATTTTCTTAAAAAGAATGTAAACAATAACACTAGTGTTATAAATATACTGAACCATATTTTCACCTAGATAAAGTTGTTGTATCTTGCTCACATGTGCCTTGGCCAAATGCCTTGATGAAATCCAAATATTGTACTTTTATGTCATTCCACTAATTTAATAACCCTTTAGGAGTGCTTGAGTGGCTCAGTCAGTTAAGCGTCCAACTTTGGCTCAGGTTGTAATATCACCATTCGTGGGTTCCAGCCCTGCATTGGGCTCTGTGCTGAAAGCTCAGAGACTGGGGCCTGCTTCAGATTATGTGTTTCCCTCTCTCTCTTCCCCTCCCCCACTCACCTTCTGTCTCTCTTTCTCTCAAAAATAAACATTTAAAAAATTTTTTAAATAACCCTTTAAATCATTAGATTAACTTTTTTAATGGTACTTTAATAACTCTAAAAATGGGAATGGTTTCATCTTTAATTATTTTTAGTAGACTAATATTGGCATCTAGTAAATACTACTAAGCTATTTTAATGTTTCAACAACTTTTTGAAAAGGCATTTCTCCCACTATTGTTCTCCAAAATCTTGTTCTTTGAGACATTAGTAGATGTTCTATGCAAAAAAGCAGTGTCAGTGAAGTGAATTTGAGAAATGCTCATATTACAGGCCTCTCTTTTGGTTCATGGTGTGCCTATTAGGATATTAAAGCCTCTGAGAAAAACACCAAAAACCTGTTTAATTTTATTTAATTCAGTTTTCACACTTACTAATCCTTGGAACATTTTTTTTCTTGGAATTCCCACTAACATCTCTTAAAATCAACATTGAGTAACAACAGTTCATTCATGATCCCTGATCTTGCTTCCAGGATCTACCTTCTTTTATTCCTTCTAGAAATTTGGGACACTTTTTGTCTCTGGCTTGTGTCAATATTTTAATCAAATTCTGGAAATTTTTAAAGGTCCATTCAAGTGTCACTTCTTCTTAGAAGGCATGATCACCAATAATTTTGTTCCTCTATAAAATCTTTTCTTGACAGTTTGTCACAATCAGCCCAGAACTGGTTTAATACTGTGTATGTGTTTTCCTACTCTGATTAATGAATTCCCTTATAGGCAAAACAGTAATGGATGCTTCTGTTGTTAATGGCATTGTGTCAGTGTTGCTTGGAAAATGGTTTGATTAACAAGGCACTCAATTCCTGAGACTTAACTTTGATTGATGAAAATGTGAAGCTCTTTGGAGGTCCTAGGATTGCGGTAACCGTATCTTCCCTCTTCAACTTCATGTCTTCTTAGGTACACTAGATTGTTCAAGAGACCATGAAACAGTATTTGTTAGAGAATTGCCATTTCAAAAATGTACACTTTATAGAACATTCTGAGTACAGAGTATCACAAGTCTGCTTGGTTAACACATTTGATAATTCTCCAATCACACATTACTGTGTCAAATATCTTACTTATAATGCACAGATTGTGAATCACACCAATAAATAGTTCAGTATATGACTTCAATACATTTTTACAATTTTGGCCATTCATGTTTTACCTACACCACTACTTATACATGGACTATGGGATAAGCCATGAATGAATAAGGAACACTCAGTAGAATTCACTTACAAGAGTGAATTTAAACAAAGGGGAACTATCAAGTACTAAACAAAGTACTAACTAAAACTTTAATATTTACTCTGAGCCATGTAAGTTCACAATAATGCTACAATCCGGGGCGGCTGGGTGGCGCAGTCGGTTAAGCGTCCGACTTCAGCCAGGTCACGATCTCGCGGTCCGTGAGTTCGAGCCCCACGTCCGGCTCTGGTCTGATGGCTCAGAACCTGGAGCCTGTTTCCGATTCTGTGTCTCCCTCTCTCTCTGCCCCTCCCCTGTTCATGCTCTGTCTCTCTCTGTCCCAAAAATAAATAAACGTTGAAAAAAAAATTAAAAAAAAAATAATGCTACAATCCAATTTGTTATACTTGTGAGCGATGAAGTTGCTGTCTTCTAGAATGTAAGGAAAAGAGCCTTGTCAAATAGTTCCCATTTCCAATAGCACAACTGACAACTGTTAATATTATTTCACTTTGTAATAATTTAGGTTCTGTTACTATAAGTACGTATTTACTCTAAGTACTGATTCAGGGGAACACTGGATCAGGCAACTATATGTATTTTAGGGATGCCTTTTATCTTCGGTATTTATTAGGTCATTTGGGTGGTTAGGGGCCCTATAGAGAATTTGATGAAATATATGATAGAGCTTCTCTCAAGCACATGAATATACTGACAAACCCACCAAATTTAGCAAACAATGAAGTCCTCCCTAAAGTTTTTAAGGATTACAGAATATTAGAATTACATGGTACTGCTCTATGGGACAGTAAGCCTATTATAAATTACAAAAATAATTATTCTGATCCTGCAAAGAAACAGTGGTAAAGTGAGTGTGCTATGCAGAACTAGAATAGTGTGACCTGGAATCACCTAGGAGTTTGCAAGAAAACCTTTGGATTTATAGCTCTGACCAGAAAGCCCATATTGTTTTCATGTCTCATCTAACCTCTAAGTAGATGTATTACCACCAGCATAATATACAAAATACTCTGGGTACATAGAACTTACTATAAACCATACCAATATTCATCATGTTACTTAATTCCAATCAGGAATTTGTGTTGTCCAATTCAGTCTGCCAGTTAGTTGAGATAAACTTGAAGTCTAAATGAGATGCTATTTCTATAATGCTTTCAGAAATGATGGGGCCTTCCCATTATTGCAAGTATTATATATGTATATTTATCTTACTCTGTTGTTTTTTGTTCTTTCAGCTTTTCAGTGTGTTTCCAGTTTTGGGGTTCGTCCTGAAAAGTCATAAGACAGTACTCAGAAACCAAGATGAATTATTTGCTTTTATAATGATTATAAAAATGTTATTTCCTAGATTGTCAGCATAAATTTGACAAAAATGACCCAAGAAGTTTCACTGATGCCTTTTTGGTCAGACAGCAGGAGACCATGGTGTTTTGCTCAGGGGTTACCTAGGCCTATTGTGTATTATTTGGTTTAATTAATACCATCTGGAGGAAAAATATTTCTTTCAAAGAAGAAGGATAGCTGGATTCAATTAAGTTCGTCATGGTAGATTTGTACACTCCAAGACATGCTATTTAGTACATTCTGCATTCTCAAATATTTTCCACTGCTTTTTGCATCACTCTCTGAAAAAAAAAAAAGGACATATACAAGATCCCAAATGTTAGCTTTTAGAATTAGTATAGTATTCCTTTTATTGCAATCTTGAAAATATGTTTCAGTTGATTAACACAAGAAAGAGTATTTAATGCAGTTTTTTTTAAAAAAAGAAAGTGTTGGGCATATTCTAATCACTCAAGTAAAAACTAATTTCCAAGTGGCAAACAGCCTCTCCCATTGTTAGAACTATTTATCATTATTAAATTGGGGACATCGGGGCCAGGCTTTATTCAAACACTCTGCACAGCACCCTCATAATAAAAAAATTCCACTGTATCGAGGAAAGAATGCAATTCAATGCATTCCTTTTTTAAGTTCATGTTAGGTTATTCACTATGATCATCCAATATAAAATTATTTCATCACTAATGATTCCTTTTGCCTTTCAGGAGAAAAGACACATCCATTGCCCATTTCAGTGATGAAAATTTGGCGGCACTTGTTAGTAATCCGTTTGTGGCTAGTACAGAGACCACGGCCTCCACGCTGCACTGGGAGCTTCTGCTCATGATGCGATATACTGAGGTCCAGAGTAAGTCTCCTAAGATTCAGAGCATTGCCTGAAGGAAGGACTCAGAAATCTCTTGGACTGGAAAAGGCAGAATTCTATGGCCACACTGGATACCTTTAATTTATGTCCTTGAGGACAGTGTATACCTTTAGTTTCTTTTTGACGTAAGAAATTAGATTTCACTTCCTAAGCTTCCTGAGACGGTCTGCAGGTGTCACTCCAGGCCGGTCCCCAGAGGAACCTCGGGAATAGAGCCCTCGAGTGGAAGCAGTACAGAGAAAAGATGAGTCAGGTAGAACTCGAAGAGCACCTGGGTTTGATTTTCACAAGGAAAGAAACGTGAGAAGATGGTTCCAATATCCCCTCCCACGCCAGACTCAAATCACTCTGCGTTTTATCCAGAAAAGGTCTGTGATGAGATCACCAAGCTTGTGGGGTCAGCCCAGCCTCGAATTGCACATCGAACTCAAATGCCATACACAGAGGTGATCGTTCATAAGTGCAGAGATTTGCTAATACCCTGTCCACAAGCTTACCTCATGCAACCACCACAAATGTTCTATTTAAAAATTACTACAGTCCCGAGTTAAGGGTTTAAGAAGGGGAAGTGAGGGGACAGGGAAAGGATGTCAAATGCTCAAAATCACAGAAGCACTGAAATGAACTGTCAAAGACAATCTTGGCCTACCTTTCTTCCTTCCCACCCTCCTTTCCCTTTTTCCTCTCTCTCTCCCTCCCTCCCGTCCAACAAAAGGTAACTGAGTGTGTCAGTGTGTAAGTACACAGAATAGGGGGTAATTACTCTGTGCAACTTTATAAGTATAGTTATTTTTATGTGGTAACTGAAGAAATCGGGGATCAGAAGGCTTAAGCCAGGTGGGTGGGCAAAAGGGCCAGATCCCAGGAAAGGCGTGCCTCTGCTTAGAGCACTGTTTTCACCTCACAGGGCCCCTCCAGCGTCACTTCCCCCCTCACACAGAAACACCCCCCAGACCCTCTGCTTCTCAATCTTACTACTTCCAGATGCATTCTTGTGCTTTCCACTGGCAACCTGAAGAAGTACGCACAGATCTTTGCTAAAAGTACACTGAAGGCAGGGATTGGCATAGGGTCATGGTATGCCCATGGCACTAATTCTTTTCCTTAAAACTAAATCTGCTTGCTGCTTCTGGGCCCATCCCTGCATGAATCCACGGGGGCCACAATGGCTGACATGAGAAAACAAATATAACCAATGTCAAAAAGGAGAAAAAGAGACCACCAAGGAAGCTATAATAATGGCAGGATTTCAGGGTGTCTAACACTCCTACCCATACTACTGGCTGTTAGTCCCTTGGTTTCACTGAGCCCCAGTGGAAATAATTTAGCATAGTTGTTACAAGGAGGAAAAAAATCCACAATGCCCAGGTACATGTAACTATAAATAAAAAACAAACAAAGCAAGAATGTTTTAAAACAAAACACTTTATTTTTTAAAATTTTTTTAATGTTTATTTATTTTTGAGAGAGAGGGAGAGCATGATCAGGAGAGGTGGAGAGGGAGAGAGAGAGAGAGAGAGAGAGAGAGAGAGAGAGAGAATCCAAAGTGGGCTCTGAGCTGACAGCAGAGAGCCCGATGTGGGGCTGGAACTCACAAACTGTGAGATCATGACCTGAGCCGAAGTAGGATGCTTAACCGACTGAGCCACCCAGGCGCCCCCAAATAAAACACTTTAAAGCAGTTGTTTGCTTTTTGTGACTCAAAAACTATACAGATTCATGTGATAAAACAGCTAACCACAATGATAGTATTCCAAAACTTTCTTAAAGAGGAGGCTATGATTAAGGTGAAGCAGTAAACATTGTCCTTAATTTAGGGACAGGCTTTTCCTCTTATTCCTGTTTTATTTTTAGTTTTCAGAATACTCTTTCCTGTATCACAATTAAACTTCCTTTCTTTGATGGCCCTATGTTGTTTCATAGCCTGTGGCAAGATGTGGAAGGGGGGTAGCTGACTTTTAAGAGTTTGTTTTGAGGGGCCTGTTAAATTTGTTCACTATCACAGTCCCTCGGGGTAATAGAGCAAAACTTCACTGAGCCTCAAACCTGCCAGGAACTGCACCCAGTTTTAAGGCTCACAGTCACCACATGAGGACTATTTAACTCCCTTCCTATAAATTTAGAAACTGGGACATATCAAAAGTTAAATAACATGCCGTTATCACATAGCAAACACAGGACTACATAAGAATTTGTTTCCAGTACTGAGTCCAAGACTCGTGTCTTGTAGGTACAGAACAAAAACTTGGTGGAGTAAATGAATGTTCCACGCTCCATCTTAAACTCCGCCCACTGTCCCTCCACTTTCCCTCCTCTCCTATCCTTCTAGAACACACTGTTTCTGAAAAATTGCCAGCCGAGACCTTCACGCATCTTTAAAGAGCCACCATTTTAGGAAGGTATTTAATCTCTGTCATTAATAACCCTTCTCTTTCTAGGGCACTGAGGTCATCACTTTGCTGACCTCTGTACTTTGTGATCAAACACAGTGGGAAAAATCCAACACATTTAATCCTGAGCATTTCCTCAGTTCTACTGGAAAGTTTATCAAGAAAGAAGCTTTCATGCACTTCTCAGTGGGTAAGGTCTCCTACTTTGAAACAGGTGGTTTAAAAAAATCTGGAGAGATTCTGCCTTGTCTGAGGATTGTGCTTAGGTTTTGCATTTTTTTTTCCATGTGGCACTAAACATAAGAAAAACGGGAAAGTGAAAAGAGACTTTCCTCCCCAGGCTTTAAATTGGCTGTTAAGACATTAGGCATTGGAATAGTATTTTCTTAAGGAATCCTTGAAGATTCCATGCGGCTGAGGCTAGCGTAGAGCCTTGAGAATCTCATGAGAAAGTGTAGCAAGGTGACAATGTGCAACTCACTTCACTCCAACCAGAAAAGCTTTGCTTCAATATGTGTAAATACCTATGTCTCTCTTAGGATTTCTTGAGTAGGAGAGGGAGGGAGGGGGCTTAGGAAAGGGAAGAGAGAAGAGCTTTCCACAAGAGTACATTTTGGAATCCAAGGAACTAAATAACTTTACTCTATAATTGTCTGGATCCCTAAGAACCTGAAATGAATTCTTCATTCCTGGACAAGAATCTTAGAAAAACTATAAACCATAAGCAGTTTGTCACCATGTGCCTTTCTACTTAAACAACAGCTTAGCATTCACTCCAGATACCCATTCAGTGATAGGTAAACAGCAGTCACCCAAAGGATAGACTTTCCTTACCTACTGATGACTCAGGGATACAGAGAGAGATAGAGTACAATGCATGCTCCAATTTTTTACACACACACACACACACACACACACACACACACACACACACAGGATGATATACAAGAAAATGTAGTAATGACTCCTGATTTAAATAAAAACATAATACCACATTTGGAAACAGAGTAAACAGAAATGAAAAATAATCTACGTGTAATTCACAGTGTTGTGAGCTCAATTTTTCTTAACGCTTCCCTGCATTATATTTTGGGGGGAAACAAAAGCCATGGAAACAAACAATAATCTCTGGAGGGTCCTTCAACTACGTACTTCTAATTCTGAACCCTCATTTTATAAGTGGAGAGATGGAGCAATTAGTTTCTCAAACATAAAGGTTTTTTTCCTAGTCTCCTTTATCAGACCTTGGATTTACTGATGTTTATGTTTAGAGAGAAGAAACTGATGTTCAAGTTTAAACAGAAGTTTTACTCCCCTTAAAACCCCCTTTTCTCCATAAACAACAATTACTTTTACACTGACCAACACTGTCTCCAGGTCCTCTGTGGTTTCTCACACACCTGGACCTGGAAGCTTCTTTGGACTATGAGACAAACAGTAATAGTCCAGAATTTGGCAGAGAGGCCCATCTTCAAACAATTTTGCCTCAGGAATTCTAAACATCTCCAGATATACTCTGTGTGTGTGTGTGTGTGTGTGTGTGTGTGTGTGTGTGTGTGTGTTTTCCTGCTTTAGGACAATCTAGTATTGATACTCTTTTTTTATCCTAGACAAACAAATGGAAATATCTGTAGAGTATAATAATCACAAAACTATCACAATAAGAAAACATATCATAAAACCAGTTTTGAGTGCTAAGTCCTCATGTTCCTTTAAGTTGTGGTGAAGTCACTCTTCCCCAGTTCTTTTCTTATCACTTCTTCCTTACTTTATTGAGATAGAGATGTTGCTCTCTGGAGGCCTCATTTGATCTTTGATCACCATCACTCTTAACTAATTTTGCATACAGCATTTCTTTTTAAGATAAACAAGATCATTTGCTATGGTTTCACCGATCTATCCTTAAAAGCAAACGAAAATGATACATACTTTGTCTTGTTGGGCAGCTAGACTCTTAACCTTGAAACTGAATAAGCCTAGGTAGATAATTCACACCCTAAGTTGCATTACATACCCATTTAGATGACACCACTCAATCATACTTTTCATTGTGGGCAGGTGCGAAAATCTGATCCCAAAAGCTAGATTAGGTGTTCCTTCCATGGGCTCCCTCAACACCCTATCATAGCTTGTGACACTGTATTAGATTTACCTGTTTCCTTGTTAGGCTCACCTACTGGGCAGGAAGCCTCTTGGGAACAATAGTCTCACAGCCAAGTTTAATTAAATACCTGTATCTTGTTGACATTGCACATGCATTGGTGGATTGAACTGTTAGCTTTTATTCAATAAACATTTTTAGACAGAAGTAGTGTGTATGGCCTTTCACCCCTAAAAATCCTGCCTTGCTACTAGGCACAGTGAAAAAAATACCCCCCACCACCCCATTTGTGGAGTTAATCTGTTTCCTGGAAGTCCTATATAAACCAAAGTACTACTTTACCCTGTGTTGTAAATTATCTACATTTAAATATTTCTCTGAACTTCGAAGTCTTTTGTGACTCAGTATACTTATGAGTTATTTTCCAAATTAAATAAATAAACAACAACAAAAGAAATCTAGCTGGCACGTGCGTGGCTCAGTAGGTTAAGCGTCCGACCAGCTCAGGTCATGATCTTATGGTTCATGAGTTCGAGCCCCACGCCGGGCTCTGTGCTGACAGCTCAGAGCCTGGAGCCTGCTTCAGATTCTGTGTCTCCCTCTCTCTCTCTGTCCCTTCCCCTGCTTATACTCTGTCTCTCTCTCTCAAAAATAAATAAATATTTTTTTTAAAAAGAGAAATCTAGCTGGACTGTCTACAACATTTTACTGGCAGGAAAGCAAAGCATCAGGCTTAGGATTTATAGACTCTGGAAGCAGGAACGAAAAGACTTGGTTGGGCCTTCTGAAGGACTAGAAGCAAAAACTTGTAATAATGCTACATCTCAATCAAATATATCATCTTTGTTCTATAATATAACCACAAACTCATTAAATTTGAGCCAGAAAAAAAGGCACCATTCTCAACACAATACATCTTAAGAAATATATATAAATATTAAGTCTCCTGGTTTTTTTTCTTTAATAAAAAACTTACCCAGAAGACTTCCTTCCTCAATTTTAACTGACTCCACTTTTCAGATAAGTTGACATTTTCCCAAATAAGTCATGTTCCAAAAGCAACCAAGTCTCTGTTCTTAAAATGCTTCAGCATGACCTACTGTCTACTTATCCTTTGGCCTCAGGCCTTATATTCCCTAACTCATGCTCTATGTTCTGGTCAGAGTCAACGTTTTTTCAGCCCTGAAATATATCAAAACCCCTTCCACATCTCACCCCATC